AGGCCCCCACCGGCCTCCAGAGCGAGCCCCTTGACCACGATATGGGGGAAATCGGGCCGCAGGGATGCCCGGGAGGCCGGGTTGCTGATCGGCTGCTGGCTGCGCTGCCCAAGGCTGGCTCCCTCGCTGCTTGACATGCTGATGGGTGGGTGGGTGAGTGTGGAGGGTGGGGGTGTGGGGGTGATCGGCGCGAGGCCGGCGCGATGGCTCTCTGTGAGCGGACGGGTGGGCTACTGTTGGCTATAATAGGCTATAATAGGCTATAATAGGCTATGTATAATATGTGCGTACACACGCACGACTGTGGTGGTGCACGCCCCCTAGTCAGCATGGTGGCCCCCGCACTCGCCGCTGCATCCACGCCCCCATGCAGCCGGCGAGTATTGCGACAACTACCGACCGTGGTGGATCCCTACCGACCCGCAAACCCAGTGCCTGCCCAAGACGGGCGCATTCCTGCCCGACGGCGCGGGCTGCTGCCACTCGACGCAGTGTGCGAGTGGGTCGTGCGATGCACGGCCGGAGGCAGACTGGCTGGACATCCAGAAGACGTGCCGCTGCACCGGAGGTGGGTGGCGGCACGGCGCTGCCTGCGCAGGGCTCCTGCAGGCACGCAGGCTGGGAAGTGCGGCGCCGAGCATGGTTTGGATGGCCGTGGTGCAGGGACCAGCTGGTGCCAGCCAGCGCGCACATGTGCGAAGCCGGGGAGCCTGGGGCACCTAAGGACGTGCTGCCAGGACTCGGACTGCCGGAGCGGGAAATGGTGAGGCGGCCTAGGTGAGGTCATGCTGGACGGGACTGCTGAGATTGCCTGCTGGCGGGGATGACTGCCTGCGGGTGCGTATCGAATGGGTGTCCCGAGCAGCATGTGCTTCGCCCCCGGGCTGCTTGCCCACGCAGCATGAATGTGACGGTTGACATCTTCGACCCATCCTGGGGCAGCGGCTACCCTGACAGGAAGTGTGCCTGCTCAAGTGGGTCGCAAGCAGCACGTGGCATCGGGGACGGGGATGTGGGCTGTAGCCCTGCCGGCCATGTGCCCGGGGCTGTGGAAGGCGGGGGTCGCCCACCCACAACCTCCCACTCGCGACCGCCAATGGGCATGGGTGGGGACACACCCTCGCGCTGCTGAGCACTGCTCCCCGCTGATCTTTGAGGCCTCTGCCTGCCTGCCTGCCTGCCTGCCTGCCTGCCGCTGCAGATGGCATGTACTGCAAGAACATCGAGCCTCGTGTCATCAATGGGATCAAGGTGGATGCTTGTCTGCCGCCAAACAAGCCCATCCTCCCAGCCGGCGCCGGCTGCTGCCACGGCTCGCTGTGTGCGACAGGGCGCTGCATCGCTCGACCCTGGGAGAGCCATGCAGACTACAGGGCCTGCACCTGCACCGGGAGCCCGCACCAGTATCGGCACCCGTCGGCCTGGCAGGCCTAAGCTGCTAAGGATCCCCACGTCCCCCACCACGTTGTGGGGGTTGCGTGTCCGGCAGGACGGGGAGCGGGGCCAGGGTGGGGTGACCCTGGGACGCTCAGCTGGGGGGAGGGTGGTCGGAGCCATGGGGAGGGTGCTCCATGGTCCACCCCCTCTCTTGATGCCCCTTGATCACGTGTGCCCCCTGCCCAAGGTCTGCTCACGCGGCCTATCATAGCGGGTGCGCACCCGCGTGCTGCCATGCACCAATTGGCAGGCGGAAGGCATCCGCAGATCGGGGAGCGCTGGGGAGATCCAGATGGCTGCCGCCCGTGCTGCAGCGTGATGAGCGAGCTGCCTGCCGCCTGGCTGTCCCTTGCTGCAGGGTCTGTCTGGTGCCAAGGAGTGACCTACACCGCAGGCAACGTTAGGGCCGGCAGGTGCTTGAAGGCAGGCAAGGTCAAAGACCTGAAGCTCTGCTGCACCGACCGCGACTGCGCCAGCAAGCAGTGCATCAGCGTCACAGAGGATGGCGAGAGGCACGGCATCTGCGCCTGCTCCCGTGAGCCCGCAGCGGCTGCGGCACGGCAACACAGCAGGCGCTGTGAGCCCGACACAGGACATGTCGTGGCAGCTGACCCGCGCCTGCTCTCGCTCTCCTGGCAGGTGGCAAGTTCTGTGCGAGGACGAGTTACTCCAGAGTCCCTCGTGCCATCAGGTCCGCGTGGGACCCATTCTGAGCGCTGGGGAGTCGTGCTGCTTCGATTCCCAGTGCGACACGGGGCGCTGCATCGCATGGCCGACGCCAGAGGACAAGAGCAACCGCGCGTGCGCCTGCAAGCCAGGTGGGTGGCGCTGGAGAGGATGACCAGTGAACCGGTGAGGGGAGGCGTGCTTGCATGCCTCTGCCTGCCACCGCCAGCACGGTCATGCGGTCTGCTGCCCGCTCGCTGCCTCCCGTGAAGCGTCTGCAGGCACAGCATGGTGCCCGTACCCTGTGGAAAGGTGCGTGGCTCCCGGCAGCCTGGCCGAGCTGGAGTCGTGCTGCAAGGATGCCGACTGCCACAATGGGCGGTGTGTGGCCGCCAAAGATGTGGGCCAGGAGACCCGCAAGATGTGTGCCTGCAACAGTGAGCGCTGCCTTGGCTGCCGGAGCAAGCCAGCCTGGGGTTGAGTGGCACGCCTAGCGCCAGCGCCCCGCCGTCTCTCGCCCTTGGGCACAGCTGACCGTGCCGTGCATGCTGCCTCGCAGGCGGCGAGTTTTGCATCAACTATAAGGCAGACTCGCCATACGAATTTTTCTGGAGGATGAATGTCCTGGCCACCAGCGGGCACTGCATCCCCACCGGCCTCAAGCTGCCCACCGGTTCGGGCTGCTGCAAGGACAGCCAGTGCGCCAGCGGCGCGTGCCGGGCGTTGAAGGAAGACTGGCTGCACCAGCCGGGCTGGAAGCAGTGTGTGGCCAAGGCGTAATCCCGGCTGCAGGGCTGTGCAGCCTGGTGGGGCATGGTTGGTGGTGCTGGTGGCGGGCAGGGGTGCTCCCTGCGCATGGGCGCCTGCGCGGGTGGCGCCGTCGGTTGGGGGCCGGGGAGGCGGCGATGCGCGCACACGCTGGATGTGTCCCTACTTCTTGCCGTTGCTTGACTATCGAGCTGTGGATTGATTTGTGAATCTGTAAGCACGAGGTGGAGGAAAGCACAGGGGGCAGCTGCGCGCCACCTGACGCAGGGCGGTGGTGGCAACCCCGGGCGACAACCCCCGGCAGCCTCCCAAGCCCTCTGCCAGCTTCCTTTTGTCATTCCTTCCCAGTTCTGCCAGATCTTCAGGTGGCAGGGAGCCCTGGAGAGCGTAATGGCAGTGTTGACGCAGGGTGGAAAGTCAGGATGGAAAGTCGGGCTGACCAATCTGGGAGAGTCTATAATCCCCCAACCAGCCCTTCACACCACCAAAACATCCTTTCCAAGCAGCCCACTTGCCCTCGAGCCCTGCCCCGCCCTGGGCACCTGCCAGACATCCCCCACCCCCGTCTGACACCCCCCACCCTCAGCCCAGCCACCGCGCCATGGCCCCCACGCGTGCCCAGCGGCTGCAGCCTGCCACTGGCAGCGCCAGCCTGCGGCTGGGCCTGGCCCTGGCAATGCTGGCGGCCACGTCGCTGCCGCAGCGTGCGGCCGCCGTCAAGGGCATCTCCGACTGGAGCCCAGGCCTCATCACCCACTTTGGCGGCAAGCAGGACGGTGAGCGAGCTGGGGAGGGGCTGGGAGGGCGGCAGCAGAGAGGGGCGGGGCGGTGATGTGGCGCCGGCCGGCGGCAGCGCCCGCCTTGCGATGGCGCCGCTCCGAGCGCTGTTGGCTGAGCTGCTGCCCCTTGTGCCCATCCCCATCTGCAGGCATGGACCCCAGCTCCCCCTCCTTTGGCACCAAGGAGGGCTCCTGCGGGTACGGCGTCATCCCCAAGGAGCAGGTGGGTGCTGCTGGACGGCGGCACACCCTTAACTCTCGTTTCCTGCCAGCAATCTGTCCTGCCTTGCATCGCCTGCCCTCCCCGGCACATGCCATGCCCCCGAGTGCTTGTGCAGGGCAGAGTCCCAGCCCATCTGCTCCTGCGTGCTTCCCCATCAGTCCTTCCCAGCCTCCCACCCCCTGCCTGCCTGCCTGCCACCCCGCAGTACCCCTACTTCTCCACCGCCGCCCTGGCCCCCTCCAACAAGTTCTACAAGGCGGACGAGCTGCACGGCTGCGGCCAGTGCTTCCAGATCCAGTGCGCGGACAGCCGCGGAGGTGAGCGCCGGGGCTGCGCAGCGCAGGGGGGCGGCCGCGCAGCATGCTCTTCAGAGCTGGCCGGCACTGCTTGGCACACTGTCGGCTCGTGCACTCCGTGCCCCCTGCTCTCCCTTCTGCAAGTGCCTCCCCACCCACCCCTGCCTCCCTACTCCCCCTGCCTCCCCACCCCTGCCACCTCCTGCCCCGCAGGCGTGTGCAAGACGGACGACGCGGGCAAGCCGCTGAGCGTGATGGTGATGATCAGCGACGAGTGCCCCGAGTGCGGCACAGACCACGTCGACGTGCAGTCCCTGGCCTTTGCCAAGGTGGGCCCCTGCAGGGCTGGCAGGGCGTGCCCTCAGGCAGCAGAGGGTGAACTGAACTTCAGATGCAGCAGCAGGGGAGCCCCGCCTGCGCAGCCCCGCCCGCAGACGCCACCCCGCCGCGCGCCAGCCCACTCGGCCACCGCTCCTGCCCCGCCTGCCTGCCCCCTGCCTGCAGCTGGCCAACCCCGACATCGGGCGCATCACCATGCAGTACCGCCGCGTGGAGTGCGCGCCACCCGAGGACATGCAGGTGGGGCTCACGCAGCCGCCCGCCTGGCTGCACCTCCTCCTCCCCTCCTCTCCACCTCTCCACCTCGCCTCGTCAGCTCATCCCTGCTTCACGCCCAACTGCGCCCATCCTCCTGCTCCGCTCCCTCCCCTCCACCCCCTCCAGGTCTCTGTCATGGACTTTGGCGGCGCCGGCAAGTGGATCCGCCTGGCCATCGACGAAACAGGGGGGCGTGCCGCCGTCAAGAGCGTGGCGGTCAAGGGCTCCGGCAGCAGCAGCTGGACCGAGATGACCAACTCCTGGGGTGCCACCTGGGAGCACCCCAGCGCCCCCGCCCCGCCCCTCTCCTTCAAGGTGGGGCTGCGGTGGCGGTGTGCGTTGCGCTGTTTGTGCCTGCTGGCTGGCTGGCTGGCCGGCTCGGAAGCCATCCCCCACCCCCTCCCAGTCTTCAACCCCTGACCCTCCACTCCCTGCTCCTCCCGCCTCTTCCCTCCCAACCGCCGCAGATTGTGGGCGACGACGGCGAGGAGGTGGTGGCCGCCGACGTGGTGAAGCAGAACGGCGGCATCAGCGGCGGCGCCAACGGCGAGCGCGCCACCTTCTCCTCCAACGTCCAGTTCACCATCACCGACCCCGCATTTGGCAAGGTGAGGCCAGGCACCGTGAGCTGCTGGCGGCACGACTGTGCCTGCCTACTGCGGCGGCCTGCAGCGGGCTGCCCTGCCCTGCACAGCCCTGCCCAGCCCCGCGGCCTTGCCAGCTACGGCCGGGAGGCTGAGGGCCACCCACCTTCTGCCCCATCTTACCTCTACCTCTACCCTCACCTGCCTCCCTGCCTCCTCACCTGCTGCCTCCCGCAGTCGGTCACCGCCTTTGACGGCCCCTCTGATCCCATGCTCATCACCTCTGACACCCCCGGCGCCGACGGCTCAGCCGGCGGCGAGGGTGCCAGCCCCGCCAACTCCTCGGCCAATGCCACCGCACCCGCCGCCCCATCCTCTGCCAACGCCACCGCAAAGGGCAGCCCCGCCGCCGAGGGCAAGCCCTCCTCTGCCTCCGCCTCCGCCTCCTCTGGCTCCTCCGGGAAGTGCCGCGACCAGCCCACCCCCGACGGCCACAGCTGCGCCCAGCAGAAGCAGTGGGGCAAGTGCGAGCAGGACTTCATCAAGGTCAACGGCTACTGCGCCGCCACGTGCGGCCGCTGCGGCGGTGCCGACTCCGGCAAGAAGGTGCAGGCGTACGCCGGGCCCGCCAACTCGGGGCGCAAGATGCTACTGCGCCGGTAGGCCCGCACCTGCGGCCCTCAGCTCCCTCCCCCAGCTCCCTCCACACAAAGGCCCCTTGTTTGATTTAGAGATCCCCGTACCCCAAGCCTAATTGCTATTCTTTTACCCCAATGAAACGTTTCTTCTTGCTTGCCTCCTGCAATCTTCTCCCTCTTGTGAGCCCCCCTTGTTGCGATTCGATGCCCTAGCGTGCTTTGACTTGCTTCCCTCTGCCTGGAGGCTCGCGAGCCGACCCACCCGCTACATCTTCCATTCCCTTCCACCCCTTCAATTCCTGCCACCTTCCTTCCCTGCCAATCAAGAGCTGCCTCGCATGCCATTCATTCCTGCCAGCCTTGCCCTGCCCCACTCACTCCCCTTTTTCCCTCAAAAGACTTGTGTGTGTGCATGGTTCCTTGTAAGCAGGCCAACCTCATTTCAGCAGGGGTGTAAGGAGGCCACCTCATTTCAGCAGGCCACCTCATTTCAGCCACCTCATTTCAGTGCGCTGCCAGAGGCCGCGCGCTGGGGGACCGCCTCTCCCGGTGTGGGAGGTGGAGAAGGGAAGGGACCAGGTAGGGAGCGTCCGCCACGCCTGGCCGCCTGGGGGGTGCCCGCTCCCCTGCTCGCCCTGCTGGCGCGCTGTCGCCGCCAGGTTGACCGGCGACCTGGCAGCGCCAGGCCATCTCCCGTGCTCCCCTGTGATGGATGGATGGCCTTTGGTCCTGCAACGAGCGCCATGGACAACAGTGACCTCCCAGCTCACCCCATTCCGTCCCTGCGGCAGACGCTGCGCAGCACGCAGCAATCTGATGGCAGCGCAAGCCACACGCAAGTGCAGCCCGAGCCGGAGGGCGCCGACACGACGCCCGAGACGGAGCTGCGAGCCGCGATTCAGGTCTACGCTGTGCAGGCGAGTGCAGGACGCAAGGCATGGTTTGTCAGAGGGGGCAACGTAGGCCTGAGAGGTGCCGCCCCTTTGACAGCTCGCTGCGGCGCCGCCGGCTGGCGCTGCCGCTCGCCGGTCCCATCGCTGCCCCTGCTCTTCGCTCGCCTCCTGTTCATTTCCCTTGCCACCCTCGCTGCCCCTGCTGCAGCCAGGACACTCGCCGGAGCCCTCTTCGCCTCCTTTTGTGGCCCTGAAAGCCCCGCCGCCCACGCCGGCAGCCCCGGCGGCTGCCCCAGCGCCCGCGGCGCCGCCGCCTCACCCCGTGTCTGCGGTGCTGTCGCCGGCAGAGGTGTACCGCGCCACCCTGGAGGGCGCGGCGTACAAGGTGGCTGCGCCGCTACCCAAGCTTGTGCTCATGGGCATCGCCTCTGGCATGTACATCGGCCTGGGCTTCTCCACATGCGCCCTTGTGGGAGGCAACCTGTCGCCAGAGTTCCGCAAGGCCCAGCCAGGCGCCTTTGCCGCGCTGTACTCGTGAGCGCGCCGAGCCCGCCGCTGCAGCACGGCCGCAGAGAACAGCAGGGGCAGCGGCAGAAGCAGCAGCGGCTGGCGCACCAGATCCCTCGCCGCTGCTCCGCGTTCCTAATGCATTTGCGCCGCGCCTGCCGCTGCCACATCCACCGCCCACCCCGCTGCCCAGCCCTCTCCGCCCTGCTTCCCCTGCACCCTGCAGCCTGATCGGCTTCCCGCTGGGCCTGGTGCTCATCGTGTTCTGCGGCGGGGACCTCTTCACTGGGGACTGCTTCAGCTCACTGGTGGCGGCGATGGAGGGTGAGCTGCACGTCTCCCACTGCGCAGCCGGCAGAAGGCGCCTTGGGTTCAGCAGCTGGAGGAGCCCGGCAGTAGGTCAACCCCTGGCCCCGCCAGGTCGCCTGGGCCTTTGATGGCGCCTGCCTGGCTCGAGACTGCCTGCTCTCCTCCTGGCGCCGCGCCTGGCCCTCTGTGCAGGCAAGATCAGCGTGCTTGCCGGCCTGCGCCTGCTGATTGTCTCCTACTGGTCCAACCTGGTGGGCTGCCTGCTGATGGTGGGGCTGTTTGATGGCGGCGCCATCTACCCAGGCCGCGACCACTACCTGATCCACCTGGCAGAGGCCAAGTGCAGCCTGGGCTGGGGCGTGGTGGTGGTGCGTGGTGAGCGGGGGGGGGGCAGCCAGGGGAGTTCCGAGCGAGCCCGCAGCCCTGGCATCCGCCGCTGGACCGGCCTGCCCACCGCCTCTGCAACCGCTGCCCGCTTGGGCCGCCCTTTCCTACTCAGCTGACCAGCCCTTCATCGCTCACCACCCAGCTGCAAGCCCTGCCCGCGCCTGCAGGCATCCTGGCCAACATGCTGGTGTGCCTGGCGGTGTGGCTGGCCACGGCGGCTCGCGACGCCGGCGGCAAGATCGTGGGCATCTACCTGCCCATCATGAGCTTCACCTCCATCGGCCTGGAGCACAGCATCGCCAACATGTGGGGCCCCGCCGCGGGATCCTGCTGCCTTCATTTGGCTGGGGCCTCGACACAGAGGAGCACCCCGTCTTGAGCCCCCCTGCCCCCTCCCCTGCTCCCCCTCCAGGTTCATTGTGCCCATGGGCATGGTGCAAGGGGCGGACGTCTCGGTGGGGCGCTGGATTTATGCCAACCAAATCCCCGCCACCATCGGTGAGCGAGCCGTGCAGGACTGCCGCCGGCGCTGCTGTCGCTGCGTCACTGAGCTCTTCAGGCAGCCATCAGAGCTCCAGGGGCCAGCCTGCCTCCATCCTGCTTGCTGCGCCACTGCTGCAGGCAACTGGATTGGCGGCGCCATTATGGTGGGCCTGCTCAGCGCCGGCATTTTCGGCTCCCCAGGCGCCAGGGCCTGGGCGGCGTGGGAGCGCGGCGTGGCGGGCACGCGGCAGCGCCTAAGGGAATGCACATCTGCCGACCGCCGCCGTAGCGTGGGCAACGTGCAGTAGGGCGCTGCCTGAACTCGGGGTAGCGGAGCATCTCGCCCGCCAGGGACTTGCTTCCTTATGTCACAGCACTGATACTTATTTGGTACTGCTCTGTTCTTTGCTGCTCTATTTCTGTAGCCCTTGGTAGTTTAGCCTTGAGCGCTTCAGCAGGTGCAGCCAGAGGGCAGCAAACAGGAGGTGCCGGTGTCGGTACCGTGGTACCGCTTGTCCCGGCAGTGGCCAAACTCTGCTATCTGTTCCTGACGGGCATGCACGCAGCCAGTACATTCTGGCTAGCCAGGATCCCAGGGTGGGAAGCGGCGGCTGCCGCCTGCAACCTGGCGCGCGCACCGCCGCCGGGCGGTGGCGGCGTTGACGCAAGGGCAGCGGCCGTCGCCGGCTCTGGCTTTGTCCACAGGGGCCGTCCCCGGAGCCCCTCCAGCCTCGTAATGCCAGTATGTAGGCTTCTCAGGGTCTCAGGGGGATCGTGGGGGCCGAGGCAGCCCAAATGCTGACAGCTGTGCAGGTCTGACGGGGCGCGCGACAGACAGCGTCGCGCACGGCAGCTCTTCAAGGTTGCCTGGCTGACAGCTTGCCTTGCCTTTTGCCTCTTCCTTCGCAGCCTTCTGGCCACGACGCTGCGTGCTAGAGCTCTCCCTGCTATCCCCTTGCACTGCCCTTTGAACTTGACCTGCTCCCCTCTTCTGCTCGCTCTCCACTTGGCAGCACCTGCCTCCTCCTGCTCCTCTCCATCTCCCATTCTTGACCTCCCCAGCTCAGCCAGCCATGGCCGCCCCCTCCTGCTCCTCCTCGTCCTTCCTGCTCCTCTGCCTGCTGGCGGCGCTGCTGGGCGCTGCTGCAACCCAGGGGGAGTGGCGCAAAGGACGTGCGTGATGGTGCAGAGCTGTGGGGGAGAAGGGGGCAGGCGGCGTGTGAATGCGGCTGCGGATTTGCAAGCGCGTCGCCGCGGCGGCTGACGGCCGTCTCACGCCTCTCATTCCCCGCCCCTGCTGCCTGCAGGTGCCACCTTCTATGGCATCGACGGCTGGAGCATCCACAAGGGTGAGCAGAGAGGCAGGGGCAGTGGAGCGCGTGGTGGCTGCTTGAGCGCTGGCACCGCCGCCGCCCCCGCCAGCCAATCCTTGCATCAACGCCCCGCCACTACCACCTCGCCCTCAGCTGCTGCACCCACCTCGCCCGTCTGCAGGCGCGTGCGGCTTTGGCTACCAGTACAAGAACCTGGGCACCGGCTGGGACGTGGCCGCCGTGGCGGATGCCAGCCCCGAGTTTGCCGGGTCGTGCGGGTGAGCGTCAGGGTGCCTACTCACCTCCCGCTGCCTGCTCTCACGCCTGGCCCACGCTGCTCATCCCGCCACTCCCTCCTTGCCTCCCCATCCCCGCAGGCGGTGCTACGAGGTGCGCTGCGAGGCGCGCTCCACCGTGACCGACGGCTACGGCAACAACTTTGACCGATCTGGCGTGTGCAAGGCGGGCTCCGCCTCGGTGGTGGTGCGCACCGTGGACAGCTGTGAGTGGGCTGGGCTGTGGTATGGAGCGGGGCTGTGGTATGGAGTGCATGCTGGGATGTTGCTGCAAGAGCTTGCATTGCTGGTTTGCTCAGCGCATGCCACAACCTGGCACCAGGCTCACTTCTGCCTGCGCCCCCTGGCACCTGCGCAGGCCCCTGCAACTACCCCGGCAACGCCTACAGCAACAAGCGGTGGTGCTGCCACGACAACTCCGCCACCCAGGGCACCCACTTCGACCTGTCCATCTGGTGAGTGGCAGTGCAGCACAGGCGGCAGCCAGAGCGCATGGCTGCCCTGCCACAACACCTTGCGCCATCATGCGCTTTGCCTTTCTGACCCAATGCTACCGCTGCCTGCGCACTCTCTCCTTGACACCGCAGGGCCTTTGAGAAGCTTGCCGACGTGAAGCAGGGCATGGCTGCCATCCAGTACCGGCGCGTGCCCTGCGGCCACAACCCCTCCAACCCCGCCCTCGACGGCCCCACCAAGATGCCGTCCTACGAGTCCCCCTCCACCCTGGGCTACCCCGGCACCCCCTACGCCCCCGACAGCCTGGACCAGGTGTACGAGCAGAAGCTGGTGCAGCGCTTTGACGGCCCCGGCAAGAAGCAGGGTGAGCGGGAGGCAGGGAGGGCTGGGTGGAGTGGAGGGCTGGGTGGAAGGGGATGTCAGCAGGACCAGCCAGCTGCCCTGCACTCCGATCAGTGCCTGCCAACCCTCAACCGCTGCCTGCCTTGCCCGCTGATCCCCGCAGGCGCCGTCACGCCCGTGAAGGGGTGGAAGCCAGGCAATGGCCAGTCCACCGTCACCCTGGAGCAAGTTCTGGACCAGCACGATGGCGGCTCCTCAGCTGATGCCTCCTCCTCTTCCTCCGCTGATGCCTCCGCCTCTTCCTCTTCGAGCAGCAGCGACAGCAACAGCGACAACGGCTGCACCGACACGGCGCCCAAGGGCAGCACCTGCCAGGAGCAGAAGGTGGGTGCAGGCTAGAAGGGTCTGAGGCAGGCAGCACCGGCCGGCAGCACCTGTCCCGCAGCCAGCTGCTCCCCGCCTCGCTCATGCCACCTGTCCTGAACCCTCCGCTCCCTGCCCCTCCCCTCGGCCCGCTCCGCTCTGCGCAGGACAACAAGCAGTGCTCCCAGCCCTGGCTGCTGTCCGGCAACTACTGCCGCGCCACCTGCGGCCGCTGCAAGCTGGCCGGCCAGCAGAACAGCGGCGACGGCAGCAAGGACAAGGAAGGCGGCAGCGACGGCTCCAGCAGCAGCAGCGACGATGGCCAATCAGATAGCTCCTCTTCCTCCTCCTCCTCCTCCTTCTCCTCCTCCTCCTCCTCCTCCTCCTCCTCTTCCGGCGCCTGCTCCGACGTCACGCCGCCTGGCGAGGCGGGCTGCCAGCAGCAGAAGGAGTGGGGCAAGTGCGGCGACGCGTACATGCAGAAGGGCAACTACTGCGCCAGGAGCTGCGGGCGCTGCGGCCAGCAGGGGCAGAAGGTGCAGGCGTACGCCGAGGCCAAGGGCGGCGGCGGCTGATGCCTTCCTGCCCAATAACTGCTCTCCCTGTGTAGTCTATACTGTGTGTGGCGCTTGCTGAGCCCAGGCAGACAGCAGGCGCCCCCCCTTTCATGCAGTACCTTTGAGTATGCTCTTATATGCTCCCCTGAACTCCCTTTGAGTCCCTTCTTCCCCGTGCCACTCCACACCTCCCCCTGTGCACTGCCATTTGCGGTATGCTTGCGCTTCTCGAGTCCCCCCCAACCCCACGCGGGCCAAGCGTTGTTCACAGCCGGCCAGTTGGCAGCCCCTTGTAACACGCGCCGCCCCCGAGAGGCACAGCAGCAGCCCAGCAGGCGACCACAGCCTGGCCCCTCCCTGCTGCTGAAGACGGCTTGCTGCTCAAGCGGAAGGGTGGTGCACGTTACACTATGCCTCAGCAAGGAAGAGGCAGCCCCAAAACACGTGCAGCAGACACCTCCTCGCTCTCCCTAGGTTGCGGTGCGTCTCTCTCAAGGGGCTGCCGCGGCAGCAGGGCTGCCAGCAGTTCTCGTCTGCTCCTCCTCACTCTCCTCCTCCTCCTCCTCCTCCTCTGCCTCCTCCTCCTCATCCAGCAGCCGCAGCAGCCCCGCGGCCGGCCCTGGGGGGCAGCGCCCCCAAGTAGGCGTCGCTGAAGGCGGCACGCGGCGGCGCCTGCCCCCCGCACTCCCCGCCGTCGCCGCAATCCAGCAGCTGCCGGCGCTGCTGCTCGCCGTCGGCCTCGATCAGCTCCTTCCAGCGCTGCGCCTCGTGGGGAGGCAGGCAGGCAGCCAGCGCCTCGTCCAGGCTGGCGGCAGGCTGCGCGGGGCCGCGGCCGCGGGCCCCCGCCCGCCCGCCTGCACGGCGGGGAACCGCGGCGCGGGTCAGGCTCAGGCGGCGGCGGGCCACAGCCACCCCACTGCATGCTGAAAGCACCACCCCGGCCACCTGCTTTCGCGGCAGAAGGCCCACCTCAGCCAGCCCCGGCCCAGCCTGGCCAGCACCTCCCCACCTGGCAGGGCGCGCCCTCCAGCCTGGGGCGGCCCCATGCCCCCCAGCAGCTCTCCCATCATGGGAGCCATGGCGCTCATCATGCCGGCCAGGCCGCCGCCGCCGCCGGCGCCGCCGCCGGACCCGCCGCCGGCGCCGCCAGACAGCATCTGCAGCAGCGGCAGCAGCAGCAGGCGTGGGAGGCGGGCCATGCCGTGATCGAGGGCGGTCCAGGCAGGGAGGCAGGGGCTGGGCAGTGTGTGGGCGAGTGTCGCCAGGCGAGGGTCTGGGGCTCGGCCGCCCACCACACGGCTAAAATGGCCCGGAGCCCCAGCATCGGAGCCCACAGCCCCGGGGGCACACCCGGGGCGCCGGCTGCACCCCACCCCGCCCCACCGCCACCCCACCCCTGCCCCGCCCCAGCCTGTCTTGCCTGCTCAGCCATGCGCTGCATGGCGGGAGACTGAGTCATCTCCAGGATGGCGGGGTTGCTCATCATGCCCTGCAGCATGCCCATCAGCCCGCCGCCGCCGGCAGTACCGGCAGTACCAGAGGCGGTACCGGCACCCAAGCCGCGGCCCGAGGCGCCGCCCAGCAGGGAGGCGAGGTCGAGCGCCTCGCCGCCGCCATGGCTGGCGCTGCGCGCCGGCGGCTGGGCAGGGGCAGCGGCGCTGGGCGCCGCGCTGGGGGCCCGCTCCTCTGCCTCCGCCGCCGCCGCCGCCGCGCCGGCGGCCTCGGCAGCCGGCTGCTCCTCTGCCGCAGCTGGGGCGGCGGCGGGGGCCGCGGCAGCTGCGGCTGTGACCTCAGCAGCCCCGGCAGCCTGGCGGGCGGCTGCGGGGTGCGGCGCGGGGCCGGCAGGCTTCTTGGCGGGCTTGCGGGGCAGCAGCATGCCCTTGCCCATCCCCGCCGGGGCAGCCTTGCCGGCGGCGGCGCCGCTGCCGCTGCCGCTGCCGCTGCCGCTGCCGTCACCAGCGGCGGTGCTGCTGCCGCTGGGCCCAGCTGCTGCGCCGTCGGCGGGCGCAGCGTCGCCCGGTGAGACGGGCCTGGCGGCTGTGGCGGCGGGCGGCTGAGGCGCTGCCGCCGCGCCGCCCTTCCCTGCGCCCGCGCCCGCCTCGACCGCAGCCTCCGCCCGGAGGCTGCTGGGCTGGGGTGCGGGAGCCGTGGGGGTGTTGCGGGGTGGGGCTGCCACCGCCGCCGCCGCTGCCGGCGCCGGCACAGCAGCTGAGGCAGCAGCTGAGGCTGAGGCTAAGGCTGGCGCTGAGGCTGCGGGGTCCGGTGCA